GACATGGTTATCTTGTGTGGTATTATGCTCATAACTGTTTAATTCCAATTAAATTTTGCTTGGCTATATTTTTTGAAAGTGTTCCAACTAAAGTCACGCTCTTGGTTACGATGATTTTACGAGCATCATCGTCTATCATGTCTAAAACTCAAGCACCACTTTAAAAGTATTTTCATGCTTATCATGTAAGGTTTTTACCTTAAATTAAAGTCTTATAACTTGATTCTAAAGGCGAGCAAAGACAATAAGTTTGCTTGCAACTCTAGTAGAGTTTGAAAGTAAAATACGATCATCAGAAAATGGTAGATCTCATATATCTCATTGTAACTAAATTTATTAACCATCAGAAGTGGTATATACCTATGACCACCAGAAATGGTAATTTAGGTTTGCTATGGTTATAATGAAGATAAGGTAGAGAAAATTCTCTATATTATATGTATACCTCGATTTGTTCGTGAAATAGCAAATATCTTAAAAGAGATTTGAATCATCACAATTTGATGTGATTGTGCACGTTTAGATAATTATGTTCCATTCCCTGAAGGATGAAAACTTTGATAAATATTGATTAATTCCCATAAGTAAATATGACAATGTTAATAAAGTTTATAAATATGAACACGCGCTTAAGTGTGAAGATATCACAATTCACCTCCAGAAGAAGTAATATGATTGAGAGAATATATTCTCAATATTTCATATTTTAAAATTCCCCCGAAATAGTAAATAATTAAATTTTTCTCCTGAAGCGGAAAAATATTATGTAGTGATAAAAATATTAAAATTCTTAATTTTCGTCATTTATAAATTTAGAATTGTTTTTATATTGTTCATTTGATTATGATTTTCTCTCATGATACCAGAAGTGTCTGAGCAATATTTGATAGTACAAAATTTATCAAAAGCTCCTAAAGAGCTAACTGTTTGTCTAGAAGATACATGAACAAGTAGTGTCTGAATAATATTTGATTGTAGACAATAAATTGAAGACTCCCAGAGAGCTTATTTGTCATTATTGAGGTCAAAACATATGTTATGATAAACCAGAAGTTTACTAATACAAATGACTATCACATTGAGACCACAAATGATTGGAAGATTGAAAATCTTTATGTTTCCACAATCATGGGGGGTAAATTAATATGCATGTGAGAAGTTATCCGTCTTATTCTTCAATTTGTAAACCAGAGGTTTACGAATGCAAAAGCAGTCACAATAAATTAGAAGTTTTGCTGAGGCAAAAGTAGCTACAGTAAATCAGAAATTTACTGATACAAAAGTAGTCACAATAAATCAGAAGTTTACTAATCAAAAGTTTATGCCATAATAAATCAGAAGTTTACTAAACGATAGCACATGTCATGATAAACTTGAAGTTTTCATTTGCCATATGGTATAAATGTGATGAGCTAGTTGAGAATTTAGACCTGCATATACTGAAGAACTAGAAGATTCTTCAAGAATTCTTTTGTGTTGTTTGTTCTCATAATAAATTGATTATACTAGCTAAAGTTGAGACTAAGACCCCTAAATCCTGGAATATGTAAAAGGTGAATATTGGCTCATTCACCTATCATGTGAACCACTTATAGATGCATATATGAGATGGTTAAATGTGTGTTGGCATTTGAAATTGCTTTTCTCAAATGAGAGCATAATTTTCAGATTATGAAATCAAGACAATTCATATTGATAATGATGGTTTATATCCAAGCTGGTTTAGCATTGAATAGCTCGTGTTAATGGCTAAACTATTGCTTATGAGACGAAAGATTCATGTGATGGTCTAAGATTTTTTAAATTGCATACAACAGCACTTGTATGCATCAGACCAACAATATATGATAAGTCCTCCCCTCACACTTGGTTTAGGATCAGAAACCAAATATTTTTACTATCTAATAACTTTAGATGTGTGATATATGATTAATTTCTCTACCACAATGCACAAAGATAGGTTTCACAAAGAAGATTGGGGATATATGTTAGTTTTTGTAACATTTGGGGATGGAATTAGCGGCCGGAGAATAAGCTATATGAAATGAATTATCATTAATATGATCCTCATTCAGAAGATAATTCAAGTCAAATGCCAGAAGCATTTGCTGAACCAAAATTAAAAATTATATTTCAGCTGCAAATGCTCCTATTAAAATTAAAGTACATGAAGGATAAAGTTTACTACAAGCATAAAGCGTAGTTCATAGGTAACATTCCTTAAAAATTTATAGGAGCAAGTGATCAAAATGACCATAATGAGGAGGAAATGAGCTCTAGAATAGCCCACGACATAACATTTCATGAAACTCTAGAAGAAGTCCAGGTACCTGAAAATAAAGAAAGTGATGAGATTTCAACAAGTTATGTCGCTTGCAAACCGATACAAAATGATCGTCGACGATATATTTGATACAATATAGTGCATAATATTGTAAGAGATTGTGAGGATCAGACCTGCAGTCTAGACACTTGAAGATGTCATGCCCTTTAAATGAAGTCATAACCTATATGACTCATTTGATTAAATCTCTATAAAGTTCCATGAAGTATTTAAAATGCGTGAAGCATATAGTTTCAAAGTCTATAGAAATGTACTCGATCATATTACAAAGGACTTTGTACGACTTAAAGGAATCTGGGCGCATGTGGTATAATCGCCTCAGTGAATATTTGTTGAAAGAAGGTTACATAAGTGATGTTATTTGTCCATGTATTTTTATAATGAAAATGTCATCAGAATTTGTTATATTTATTGTTTATATTGATGACATAAATCTTGTTGGAACTACAGAAGAGCTCCAAAAGGCAATTGAATACCTTAAGAAAGAATTTGAGAAGAAAGATCTTGAAAAGACAAAACTTTGTCTTGGTATGCAAATTGAACATTTAGTAGACGAAATTTTTATCCATTTATCTGCCTATACATAAAGGGTCTTAAAATACTTTTACATGGACAAAGCACACTCATTGAGTACGCCAATGATTGTTTGATCACTTGAAGTGAATAAAGATCCATCCCGACCTCCAGAAGAGGACGAGGAACGCCTTGATCATGAAATATCCCATCTTATTATAATTGGTGCACTTATGTATCTTGCTAATGCTACAAGCCATGACATAACATTTTATGTTTATTTATTAGCAAGATATAGCTCTTCTGCTATACGAAGATATTGGAATTAGATTAAACATATATTGCGATATTTAAAGGGAACTCTTGATATGAGTTTGTTTTATGCAAACAAAGGTAGTGCAGATCTTGTTGGTTATGCAGATGCAGGTTATATATTTGAGCAAGTAGGGAGTGTGTATGGTTGAGATCAGTGATTCATTTCATTCTAGAAAAACGTGGTTTGGAATGTGATAGAAGGCCTACAATTTTATACGAAGACAATGATGCATACATAGCCCAATTGAAGGGAGGATTTATAAAAGGAGATAGAACGAAGCACATTTCACCAAAACTATTCTACACACATAATTTTCAGAAAAATAGTGATATTGATGTGCAACAAATCCGTTCAACTGAAAATCAGATAGATTTATTCACCAAGTCTTTGCCAATTGCAACCTTCAAGAAGATGCTATACAAGATTGGAATGCAAAGACTTAGTTATTTGAAATAACATCTTTATCAGGGGGAGTAAAGTATGCACTGTACTCTTTTTTCCTTGCCTAGATTTTTTCAATTGGATTTTTCTAGTAAGGTTTTTAATGAGGCATCTTGCGATGTATATTATTAGTGTACTCTTTTTCCTTGACTAGAGTTTTTTCCCACGGGATTTTTCCTAGTAAGGTTTTAACGAGGCACTTAATATTGAAATTCAAGGGGGAGTGTTATGAAAATATTATTGTGGATGTCCATTTATTACTCTGCTATAGATAATATTCCTGAAGAAGATTATCCGTTTAGTACTCTATTGAAGTTTATCTACAAGCAGCTGATGCAGGCAGGTTGCAAGCAACTCAATGAAATGATTTGCAACAGCTTCTTATTAAACAGGCAGGTTGCAAGCAGCTCATGCAGACAGTTTACAAGCAGCTCAAGAAAAGTCTCGCAGCTGCTTCCTGAAAAGCCCTGCAGCTGCTTCCTGAAAAGCCTCGCAGCTGCTTCCTTTCTTCAATAAATAGAGGAGTTTTCAGTTCATTATATACATAAGTTTGAAGTTGAATAATATATCAATTTCTCTCTCTATACTTGTCTTCGGTTTATTTACTTTACAGTTTTTATTTTATAACAAATTTCAAATTATTGGTAAATGATTAATCTGCACGTGTTTGTATATTTATTATTGAGGAATTATCTTAAATATTAGTATTTGGCTGCTAAATTGTTTACGTATTCGTAGTTTTACTATATTATGATAATTATTGCTTGTAATTATTTTTAGAAATTTTAAAATCAACATTTCACGTTTCATTATAACATTAACATAAATTGATGTTAATTTATGATCAACAACAGAAAGTTATATTTCACAATGACCTTTTTTTAAGGTTTATAAAATAATAAAAAATGTTTTCGGACAAAACTCGCGTATTGCTTTTGGTGTTACTACTCTCTCCATCTCAATTTATATGAAATTATTTGATTAGACATGCAGTTAGAAAAAATAAAAAAACTTTTAAAATATGTAATGCAAAATAAATCGTAGTGTATAAGTGGGAGAAAAAAGAGGATGTCACGTATAATAAAATAGAAGAAATACTGCCTATTTACTAGTACACAATTGTTGAACAATCTCCAACTTTCGAAAACTTTTTTTCTATTGAACTTTATGCCCAAATATAAATTCTTTTCAAGTTGAACGTAAATTTTTCTTCTTTCTTAAAACTCAAGTCAAATATTGTCAAATGCCTATGGTTGTTTCCACCAAAATTTACACTGATATTTGAGAAAGCCTGATAGACCAGATAAAGGACAAAATAATGTGTCTCCCCCTCACTGGTCAATACTCAATAGCACAAAGTAGCTCAGTCGTCAACGATTTGCTCTTTTACTTTTCAATCCTCTTCAAAACCCTTTTCTTTCCCAAAAACCCCCTCTCACTACAGAACGAATCGCTGCTCGAGGTACAACATTTTACTCTCATTTTGCCCAGTCACTACCTTCATTCTCCATTCCTATCATCCAATCCATTCACTGATTCAAACTTTCTTTGACCTTCATTTTTACTCTTTCTTACTCTAGGGTTTCTTTTTCACCTCCATTTTCGTCATCTATTTTCCCTTTCTTCATCGCTCGATTTCATCCTTTTCCGCTTTAGGGTTTTCAGTAAAGCGGGAGGAGTTTGGAGCACCGATTCGTGAATGGAGGCCTCGGCAGCGGCTGGGGTCGCCGCCGCACGCGGCGTTTCTCTTCCTGTCTCCTCGTCGTCGGCTCAGGCTTCTCGCAAAGAGTGGCGTGCTGTCTCCGAGCAATCGCTTCGAAATTCCAGTGGCGAGGTACTTTTCGCTGATGCAAAATCCTTCTTCTCACATTGCCTTCTGTTTCTGATCTAGTCTTTACGTTTCCATTTTCATTTTCATTTTACACCATTTGTTAATGTATCAAATGTAGGAAACGGACCGTTCTAGATTAGGTCAGTCTGATGAGAGACTGATATACGAGGTAACACTTTTATATAAGCATAAGACATTTTCGATAAACTTAAATAAAAATGAGAAGTATCGCATTAGTACTTTTAGGGTTTGTAACGTGTAAATGATGGTGATTTGATTTTTTGTCAAAGGTGCAGCAAGGGAGAGAGCCGATTGACGTGGACTTCTGTTCAATTACTATTGATGGAAGTTCGGGCAATGATATTCTTCAGAGACTACATACTGTGGTAAAAGAAAAAGAAGAGTTGCAGCAACTGGAGATTGAACTACGGGCTCNTGAGATTGAACTACGGGCTCAGCTCATTGCAAGATCAGAGATTATGGAAATACGGAATAGTTTTGATGCTCAGATGAAAGAGCACGCCAATACCAATGCTAAGTTTCAGGTACTAGAGTCTTTTTTACAAATGTTTTGACTACTGCTTAGGGCATTAATTTGATTTACTGATTAAGTCGTTGGTTTATTGCTTCTTAAGGAGCAAATACATGAAAGGGACCAGAAGATTTATGAGTTGGAGAGGAGGATGGAAGAGAAAGAAAGGGAACTGCATGCAATCAGACTGGACAATGAAGCGGTTGCTTGATTCTTCTAACTCTTACTTATGTATCTTATTCTTGTTTCTTTATGAGAGTAAGTGGATATTCTATTAAGTCTAATCCTTTTCATTGACTGGAGCAGGCATGGGCAAAAGAGGATCTCCTTAGAGAACAAAGTAAAGAACTACAAACTTACAGGTTGCTTTTTGCTTTTGTCTCAAGTCCCACTGTCATTTGTCGTTAATAATATCTTCTTTGTTGATTGACTAAACCACTTTCTCCTATAAATGTTTTTGTGCAAACGTGGATCACCTTCTATATTAGTTTGATCGGGGTTGTCTTACATTTTTAGTGGTTAAATTGTCTTCTGTGGTGTTTTCTTGTTCTGTAACTGAAGTTTAGAAACGAATTTTACATCTCCTCTGAAAATTGGCATGAAACTGTACTTTCAATCTTAAAATCTAAGCAAGACTTATCAATTTTTAGGAGAGAGAGGGATAGCACTGAAGCCGAAAGAGCTCAGCATATTAAACAAATTCATGAACTCCAAGAGCATTTTCAAGAGAAGGAGCGCCAGTTCATGGAATTGCAGGAACAGGTACAGTTATTTCTATTAGATTGATGGATGAAGAAGATTATTTTCTTCTTCTCTTTCTTATTCTTCACTTTTTAAAGTTGTAACGTGAGGCTTATGTTTATCTTTTGATGTTACTAATATAGTTTCATCTTTGTGCCTCATTGATTCAAGTCTGGTGTAGTCGCATGATGGCTTAATTGTGATTGGGTGTGATCAAATGTGGTTCGGACAAGAAAAGAAATATTAAGTTGAAGTTCACACAATAAATTGTAAAATATGACTCAACTTCGACTAAACTACCTGAGGACTTCAGGAAAGTTTGGGTGGTGAGAAATACAGTTCCATAGACATTAATGATGGCTTAATTGTGATTGAGTGTGATCAAACGTGGTTCGGACAAGAGAAGTAATATTAAGTTGAAGTTCACACAAGAAATTGTAAAATATGACTCAACTTCAACTAAACTACCTGAGGACTTCAGGAAATTTTGGGTGGTGAGAGATACAGTTCCATAGACATTAATGTTCTTTTAGCTGAACTAGCTAAAATTCTACCCGAAAGGGACATTCAAAATGAGGAATTCAAGGTAGTTAATACTACCAGATATTGATCTTGAGTTCTAGGGAATTCTACCAATTCATGAGGCGTACTTAATGCATCTTGAGAAATTTTAATTAAGAACCGCTCCTAAATCGATGTTTGATGTTAGAAAAGTTAAAGAAAGACTATCCTACTTGATAGAATGATTTTCTTGGGAAAACGGGCATCTTGAAACTCTTGTTAACTTAAAATAATCAACAATAAGCATAAAGTTCAGTCCACTCTTTAAATCTCATCTTATTGGTTTTCCTTTAAGTGTGCTCTCTTGTAGCACATGTGTGTATATATATATATATATA